TTCAAGCCACGCTGCCATCGGAGGACAGCAAGACCTTTGAAGACCACCCAGACTACAACTGCGGCAGTGGAAGTCCACCAGATGATTGGGTTGCCGATAAGGTAGATGTGACGATGCTGTCTTCCCCAGAAGTTGATACCACGAGACAGGATAGGCCAGGATGGTGGGCGAGAGTCCCAGGCGTGAGAATCAACGAGACCAGCGTTCGTCCTCCACATAACCTTGTGGAGCTCCCAGAACTTGGCGAAGAAGCCGGGAAGCTTGTAGTTCACCTTCTCGACATCGTCGGGGAGAGCTGGGTGGGTGTTTTGTTCAATATACCAGATGCTATTGGGTAGCGAACCGCCTTTGGCGCAGGTAACCTCCTGTTGCTCGAAACCCCATGACGGTAGCTTAACTTTGTGAGAGAACAAAACACAGCCAGTCATCACATGAATGAGCCTGAATTTCGTTTCGATAGTCCTCAGTCTCTTCTTTGCCTCTTCTCCGCGAGACATAGAGGGGACAATCTCCACACGGAAGAGATCGTTGGCGTCACCGTCGAATCCTTCATAGCCGTACGCAGAAACTTCGAACTGCCAGTCAGCTTCGGTAACCGGGGGACGAACGTCATGGGAGTGAAGGCGTCTGTCAGTGGCCATATGGTAGAGCTTGATGGTGCTGCCGTCCACAACGTAATCAGTGGTAATGTTATCCCAGGCCCTTGGACCAGCAACCTGGCCATATGGTCCAAGGGGCTGAGTCTGATTCTCTAATATGAAGACGTTGTTGTCATCCTTGTGGGGGTAAAGGGTGATTTGTTGCTGCTTGCTTCCGGTGGGGTACATGTGGTTGTGGGAGTGCAGGTAACCACCCTGTGTGTTGTGGTGTCTGATGGATACGCGCGAGCCAAAGGCGACGTCCGCCGGTACATCGTTCATGCCCTTTGAGTTGAGGGTTGCTTGGAATTCGGAAGACATGAACCCGTCGCCTTCGCCGGGGTTTCGGAGGCAGAGGAAGTGGATGCCGAACATGGCCATGTAGAAGCCGACGGGGATGATGATCAAACAGAAGACACGGGCAATTCAATGTTTAAACCAGATGCGCTAGAGGACGTTAGCTTGGAGGGTTCCTGATGAACGTTGGGGTGTAGCGTACCGGAGTAACGGTCTTTGGGTCACCCAGAAGAACCCAGAGTTGGACAAGAGTCAAGGAACCAACCCACGCAATGGTGAAGAGGCCAACCCATTTCACGCTGGCGGTTGCTCCCAAGAAAAGACCCGAGGTCACCAGCCAGAACCACCAGGAGGGCCCAAAGGCCTTGGGTGGGCCCTGCTCATGCTGGTTCGAGAACGAGGTGAAGGACAGGACGGTCAATGCAGTGAAGATGATCAGAGGCGAGTCCAGCAGGATGAAACGAGACTGAGTGACGAGTGCGTTTTCTATAATACTTGTTAGGATGTATCCTGTTGACGTATAGCGGGTAACTCACCAAAGGTGACCAGGAGAGCACCGAAGGAGGCGGTAGACGTCCGACAGCCGGTTGCCTTGAGGGTGAGGAACATGGTAGGGACCGTCATTACACCCATGATGGCGGGAAGCATGCGCATGGCAACATAGGGAACACCAGGTTCTAGATAATCCTTGCCAATCTCCTTGAAGTCAAAGTCTCCCTTGAACCCGGCGAGGTGACCGGCGAGGGTGATGAGCAGCTTTGCCAGCGGCGGGTGAACGTCCATGAAGAATTTCCCTTTGATATACTTGGTAGCAAAGCCTCCGAAGCTGTCACAGTCCACGTTAGCCCAGCGTTCTCTGTGTATGCCAACGGGTTGGGGACTCACTGGACCTCATCGAAGACGACGCTGGTAGGCTGATAGATCCTGAACAGACGCACAACCGTTGCAATTGCGGTGATGACGAGCATTATCTTGTAGTCTGACACCGGCAGGTTGAGGACATCGTAGTCCTTGACGCCCTCTGAGCGGTAATCCTGGACTCTGGCCTGCCTGGATCCGCCCTTGGGACCGGGGGAGCGACTCTTCGAGCGGCTCTTGGAGCGACTTTTGGGCGTCTTCGCCTCCAGACCGGCATTCGAGGCCTTGGACGCCATAATCACAGATTAAACAATAGAATAGAAGGGAAAAAGGGCGGTTTCGTATAGAGTCGCAGGGAACTAAACCGGCCACATTGATTAAAAGGTGAGCCAAGCGAGGCTGAAGTAGATAGTTGGAGATGCGAGCGAGCGTCAAGAAGAGAAGAAGAAAAGCAAACACAGTCAATAAGAGAAGAAGAAGAAGAAGACAACGACAGCAACTCGACTTGAAGCCGCCTCGATATCAAGACGAAAAGGACAGCAAGTTGAAAGTCGCGGATTTCGTTTTATTTCGTTGGTTTTTTCTTTTGAAGAAGAAAAGGGGCGCTTATGTAAGCATGCATCTTGAAGCTCGAAAAGACGAAGATGAAGATGAAGTTGAAGTTGAAGAAGACGACAAGAAGTTGAAGAAGTTGAAGACGAAGGTAGAGATTTAGTCGAGATGGCTCCGTCAGTGAGTGAAGCTGCTGCTACGCCGTCAGAGCTGCCAGACGAGGTGAACAAGCCGCCAGAGGGCGTTATCTTGCCACCAAAGGACATCAAAGGTATGGACGGCCAGGACGTTATTGAAGACGTATACTGACCGTGTGGATAGTCATTGTCGAGAAGACTGCGGGCTTCGTTGCGCGTAACGGACACGTATTCGAAGGTAGAGTGCTTTAGATACAGGTACATGGGCTATGCTGACGGCAGACAGATCGAGTGAGAGAGAAGGAGAAGAACAACACCAAGTTCTGCTTCCTGAACCCGGACGATGCCTACGCTCCGTTCTACGCATGGCGGCTGAGCGAGATCAAGGCTGGCAGAGGGACGGATGTGTCTGCTGGCCGCGTCGGGGAGGCTGCCGCCCCCCCCAAGGAGGAGGCGTCCCACGTCCCCAAGCCTCCGCCGGAGTTCCAGTTCTCTGCCCGGATGCCCAACATCAACGCGCTGGACCTGGAGGTGGTCAAGCTGACGGCGTTGTTCGTTGCAAAGAGAGGGAAGTCGTTCATGACCTCGCTGTCACAGCGTGAGACGAGGAACTTCCAGTTCGACTTTCTCCGGCCGCAGCACAGTCTGTACCAGTTTTTCACCAGGCTAGTCGACCAGTACAAAGAGCTGCTGCAGGTCGAGGGCCGCGAGAGCACCGTCACGGAGGAACAGCGGCTGGCAGAGCTCAGGGGGAACCTGGAGAACAAGTACAACGCTCTCGGGCGGGCCAAAAGGAGAGCCGAATGGGTGAGGTACCAGGAGATGCAGAAGCTGCAGAAGGAGGAGGAGGAGGAGGAAGAGCAGGTAGCCTATGCGCAGATCGACTGGCATGATTTCGTGGTGGTCGAGACCGTCCTGTTCACCGAGGCAGACGACCAGGCGGAACTACCGCCTCCCACGTCGCTGAACGACCTGCAGACGGCATCTCTGGAGCAGAAGGCCATGATGTCTCTCCAGCCGCACGACAGACGGATAGAAGAAGCCATGCCTACCGAAGACGACACAACGACATACTACAACGCTACGACCGACACACCATACCAGTCCGCTCTCCCCGTCCTACAACCGCAACGCCCTACTTCCGCCGGCCCAGTGCTACCGTCATCGCCGTTCTCTTCAACAGCAGTAACATCGACATCCGCCTCTCTCTCGCCCACTCCCGTCTCAGTAGCAGCCGCCTTGCCCACCCCTCCAGCAGCACCGGACCAGCAGCCAATTCGCGACCGGATCCGCGCCGCTCCCTCCCCTTCGCCTCTCCCAGGCCAGCCGCCGATGCGTATTCGGTCGGACTACGTCCCTCGCGCGCAGGCCAAACACCTCTCCAGCACCAACCAGCCCACCTCCATATGCCCCAACTGTCGACAGCAGATCCCCATTGCGGAAATGGAGCAACACATGCGCATCGAGCTGCAGGATCCACGCTGGAAGGAACAGCGCGCCAAAGCCGAGGCGCGGTTCGCCAGCACTAACCTGTCCACGGCCGACGTGGCGAATAACCTGAAGCGCCTGGCCAGCCAGAGAAGCGACGTCTTCGACCCAGTGCTATCCGGGCCGGCGGGTACGGGCGAAGGCGAGTCGCGCGAGGGAGACGAAGAGCTCAGACGGAAGAGAGTGGCCGTGGGACCGAACGGAGTCCCCGTGAACATGAACGTACCGCAGCCTTCGACGATACCTATTCCTACGCATCCGCACACTCACCCTCTCCCTCACGCCCCTATCCATGCCCACGCCCACGCCCACGCCCATGTGCATGCGCCGGGGACAATGCCTGGACTCCCGCCCGGCGCACCAGGTACCAACCTGCCCATGGCCCCGGTAGCATCTGCCCGACCGAACCCCAAGCCAGCCATGCGCGAGCTACCAAAGCCTCCTATCCAGAAGCCACCGCCGGTCCAGTCGGAAATCGAGAAGCCAGAGACGCCGCCGGTGAACATCAACGAGCAGATACGCAAGATCCACGAGAAGATGAAGCAGTGATCTTGCCCACCATCGTTTGGCATTGTATTTTGCATTTCCGCTGTTATGTATCTTTATCATGTATTACTCTAGTCAAATTGGAAAACGGCATACCAAGTACTTGAATATAGGCAGTACTTGAATATAAGGCAAAAGAATTCAATCAACCTTCATTCTCATCTTAGAGGTCGAAATTCAATTATCAACTCTGCAAGCCCATGTCCAAAACCCATCCATCCACCCATCCGG